AGGAAGGAAGGAAGGAAGGAAGGAAGGAAGGAAGGAAGGAAGGAAGGAAGGAAGGAAGGAAGGAAGGAAGGAAGGGGTGATGGGGCACCACCATTTGTTTACTGCAATGGCCACATGTTCTGATAGCTTTTACATCCAATAGCCCCTCACACTCATTCACTGCTGTGGTGATAAGTGTTAGCACAGTGTTTTCAGAAAATCTKCAATAACCAAGTTTCAAGTGCAGGGCAAACTTGATTTATGCTCCCTTAACTCTTCCCACATCCACTGTCTGATGGGTGCAAATGAGCATATGCATAAATGAGAGACCACAACTTAATCTGCTAATTTTGATGAAAGATAAATCTTTAGTCTTTGTTTCTCTGCATCTTGTGATTTGAAATTTTTTGTCTTTTGTGTTTTGACTTTGCTATTACAGTAACTTTCAACTCATTTGTGTGAACAGGAGTAATAGTTATGGCAGATAAACCTATAATTTTTTTGTGTTGCAGTAGTTACATACCTAAAAAAGACTGAATCACAGAATCACAGAATCATTTAGGTTGGAAAAGACCTCCAAGATTGTCAAGTCCAACCTTCGATCACCACCTTGTTAACTAGATCATAGCACTAAGTGCTACATCCTGGTAGCATCCTTTCTTGAACAGCACACTTACTTTACAGTCCTAAGTGAAGTATTTGCAGTGCTTTGGTTTAATAASAGAATGATGGTCATAATATTTTGCATTTTCCTAGCACCATTCAGTCTATTCAAGGATTTCCTCTTCTAACATCAAATCAATGAAGCCTTTATGTTATTGCCCCTTTTCTGGTTCCGCCTGATGTATTTTTCAGAGTAAGGGCCATTTTTATTTACTTTTTTTTTTTTTTAATCACTCCAGAGACAATACCAACATTGAAAAAATAATGGAAATATTTTATGAATGGGAAAACTGTACATTAGAATCTCTGTTTAAATAATCAGTGCAGAAGATATGCTATCAGACTACCCTTCCCCTTCTATACAGCAACAAAATCAGAACAAAATTGAATTATAGGGCTGGAAGAAGAGTCAGGAAGTCAGGATGATGCTGTGCAAGTACCRCATATTGTTCATCATTCCTTGCAATGTGGCTGGACATAAAATCTCATTGCCAAAAGGCAGGGCCAAGAAGAATGCACATTCCCAGGATAGGTCATGTTGGCATTCTCTGGCTCTGTGGCCAATGGCTGCAGGCACACTGTTACCATTGCAGGACATGCATCTGTCACAGGAGGGGGAGTGCCTACATTTTAGCTGTCAAACACGTACCTATGGCACTACCTGGCATTTGTAAAACCTCGGGGGAGGGGAAGGCACAGAGTTCAAAATTTCACCCTTATCACCGCAAATCAGGCTGATAGCTCTTACATAACTGTAAGGGTGCATTGAAAACAACTTGATAACTGTGTATTTATCCTGAGCTTTAACTCAGGATGAAGATCAATTCCATATTTCCTCTCAGCCTTCTCTCTGTGACACTAGATAATGCCTGTTCCTTCTCCACTAGCAAAGTGGAACCCAGAATCAGGCCAGCACTCCAGCTGAGACCTCATCTATACCCASTAAAACAAAATAGCTCTTTATTGTATCCTCACACAACACTGATATGAATACAGCCCACAGTGGCAGTTTCCATTTTTGCAACCACATTACCCACCCATTCATATTCCTGTATGATCCACCCAACTGCCAGATGCTTTTCTGCAGTGCTATAGCTAAATTATTCCCTGCTTGTACTCATGCATTTCATTTTCTCTCATTTGTCTGTGCTAAATTTCATCTTACTCATCTTCCACTGAGTTTTGATCTCACCCCTCAAAGCGTGCCCCACCTTGGACAGCCTTGGCAGCATAAAACTGGTGCCTTCTCTTTCATTCTCTTRAATGTTATGTTTGCCCCTCTCCAGTCCCACGGCTCCTTGCCTATCCACCTACAGACCTTCAGGTAAATGRAGGGCTGAGGAAGAGGAACACACCTCAAGTCTGACACAGGTTTAGCCCTACTGGCTCATACCCTTGACCAGACTCTAAACCCCCAAAGCACCCGAGGATGGATGGAAAAAGCCAAGCTGGGGGAGTCCATGGTGARCTTCCTGCACAGGTTGGAGCAAGTACAGCAAGCACTGGCAGGGAGTCCTTCATGGTCCAGCACATAATCTCATGTGTCCCAATCTGAAAGGGTCAAAGGCAGCTCTGGCTGGTTCCTTGAGATATCAGGATACAGTGGATGACAGGCTCTGAAGAGGCTCTTCCCACTTTCTCTCATTAYTACTAATTTTAGTGAACAAACAAAATGTTGACTCAAGATCTGTGTGGTGCCACTTGAAGCTGTACCCCCAAAAATGAAATGCTTGAAGAAGTTTATACTCACATCAGAGGCTCCCATGATTTAGGCTTAATGAAGATAGCAATAGGATAGAGTTGTGCAACTTGTAGTCGTTTGATAGCGTTTCCTGACACATCAAGTATACAGTGCTTGCCCTGTTGGAAACAGATGAGGATGCGTTTATTTTTGCAGACTTTGCTGCAGATCAGCCAAAAGAYAGGAAACAATCTATGATGCAGTGTCCTGGAATGGGGCCATTACTGGCACACCAGGGAAGGGGGAGCCCAGGGCATGTACTCTGCAATCTTTCCTTTGCTTTGGTGCCAGTATAAATACACACTAGTGATATGGGAACAAACTTGGGTTTTATTTTTCCCTGGGATGAAATTTGCAGGGGCAGGATGATTTTCTTACATGAAGAAAATAATTTCATGAAAGTAATACGATGTCCACATTCTTAGTGATTAATTCAGTTCTTATGTCAAAGACTCCCTGTGCCACCTGTAATCTTTCTGTTGTTCACTCTTTTGCCTCTGTGAAAGTGATTTAGTTTATCTACCTGTCTTACAGAGGGAAGAGTAGAAGACGTTTTGGGGAGTACTTGAGSCACTGTGTTGGAACCCTGAATCCAYGACACTACATGTACGCACAGAGAATGCCAAGGATGATGTCATTCAAAGTCAGAGACTCCATTCGTGGAGTCATTATAAAGCCTATAAATATTAGTAAACTGTTTTGCAGCAATTTTATATTTTTTGCAGAGAATCATGTCTGAGAYTTAATGTGGAATCAAAGCAGATCATGTTGCATTGGCAATAAACCTTCTGTCAACCTACCCTTTCTGCCACAAATCTCACAGACTGGACACTAGTTCCATATAAATTATCATTGTACTGCCCAGCTTCTATAAATTTGTGCTCTTGGATATCTTTTTCCATTTGTTCTCTTGAAATGACAAAATGATAATCTCTCCCATCCACTTCATAGTCACGCTTTGGCCGTGTGGTATCTGCATGAAACAAAAGACAGATCAAGAAGTCTGCAAAAACATTTAATGAAAAAAAATGCAGCCATGATTTGCTCAGTGGGCAATGCTGGGTCTGCTCTAAGGGAAGGCACTTCACATCTGAGACCAGATCTTTGGCTAGTCCATACTGTTTTCAATGGAGCTCTGACAATGAAGCTGTATTTTTATAGTAATATCTTCTGATTCTGTAGTAATACCTTCTACCTCAAATCAATACAGGCTAAAATATAATTAAGGTTTACCAATTCCATTTTTTTCAGCAGAATCACACACAAACTTCAGATATAAAATGCATTCCAGATTTTAAACTCAATGTCATTACGGTGATAAAATGAATTGTGATCTCAACAACGTAATTTAGCCTTATTTACAAGCCTGCTTCTATTCTCATCTCTAGTAGTTTTAAGTTAGTGCATTGTCAGAGACAACCATTTAAAATGAAGTAGAGCTGTAATCAGGACCCGAAATAAGCAGCAAACTCCAATGGTCCAAGATAAAAATACTCTGTTTAATTCAGGGTCCACCATAACTTTCTGATTCAACAATCTATATCTCACACAAATCACAGATTATTCCGTATTTTTACTGGTGGACATTGTGCAATTGAGCTGTAAATTTTGCCAGTATTTCAAACTTTCATCTTATTTAAGAAATCATAGATTAATTGATTACTAAACTGAGTTAGTGACTAGAAGGTTTTTTGTTTAAAAAAATCCTAGAGCTTTTATGACAACTCTTTTGAGATATTTTTTTCCCCCAGACCTTCATAATCTCTTTTTAAATTTATTTGTTCTTTTCCTCTTTCTGTCTGATGAAAAAATKACTTTTGAGAAACTCAGCTATGTATAGTTCATGGATGCTGCTTTCACAGAAATTTACTTAATGTGTGGATTCAAGGGATACAGTTCACTCAGCTGCACTAGGAGTAAAATCCTACTTACGTGGTACGCATGACCCAAACTTATCAGGGAATTCAGATATCAAATCATCGTTGATCCGATCTTTCATAGGACCCAGAATAATAACTGGCCTGGTGTAATTAACTGAAAAACAAAAAGAAAGGCACATTTTGATGCTCTTACTGGCAAAAATAAATGAATTTACCCAAATATGCACAAACCAGAGTTGTTGGCTTTATTGGAGTTAATCTAAAAAATCGACACCAATATTTTGTAGACTGATTRATGTACTGCACTAGTAAGCCCATGAGAACGTTTTGGGGAAAGTTCTGGGAATGTTAAGAAGTGTGGGCTTCCAAGGAATACCATAACTTTTTTTTTTCATATGAAAATAGACTGAATGTCAAAGAAAAAGAAGTCACCGGGAATTGGACTGGCACAGCAAGGTTTACTCTTTTGCTGGCCCTCAAACTCTGAAATTAAAAGCACAAGGAACATGGATAGAAAAGATGAAACTTACTTTCCTGTCTTGTGACAGGTTCATAAGAAAAGATGCAGTCTTCTTGGCCTCCTGATGAGAGAAGAAAGAGAAGAGATTAAAGCTGATGAGCAACATGTGCTTAAATTTGATAAAATGCTTCACACAGAGACAGACGAGGTTCCACACTTCTTTCTTGATAGGCCTCTCACCTGAACCATTCCAAAGTGCATCATAACTTCCAGGTATGGAGACAGTTTTTTTCTTCCCCACCCTCCCCTTACATGTGTTTCTATTTGATTTACTGAAATTGGGCTTTTTTATTGATAGGAGACAAGCCTTTATTTATGATTTGATAGAAGGCTGTTTACAATGATGGTGCAGCAATTTCAGATGCAGAGCTTTTTCTTTTCCTATTGTTAAGGCCCTAGCATGTAGCTGTAGAGTAAATCAACAGGCTACCTAGACAGAACAATTTTTATACATTTTGGTTGATTGTTCTTCAGCGCATAGCCTCCATAGTATAGTGCATTCACAGCCTAACATCTAGCTATGAGCTGTTTTCTGAGCCTTATCCTTTCCCTGAACACAAATCACAGACTCACAGAATGGCTGGGGCTGAAAGGGACTTTCAACTTCTGGAGAACATCTGGTCCCATCCGCCCTGCTAAAGCACCAAGAACATGTTGTACAGGATCATGTCTAGGCTGGTTTTGAGTATCCTCAGCAAAGGTCTCACAGCATCATATTTTATACATTTGTCCTCCCTCTGCCCTGTCAGGACAATGCTGTTTCCTCATGGTGACATTTAGGGGACTAAAGCAAAGAAATGTGCCATGAGAAACAAGTGGCATTATGTGGACCATGGCTGGGGTGCAGGTGTGGAATCCTGATGCATCACTGTGCTCCCAGCCAAGGGAGTGCAAGAGGAGAGGGAGGAGGATTCTTCACCTAAAGTATGAATAATTCCTGCTCATTTCTCTTTCTGGGTCACTGTCACATACTTGGTACCACATGAGGGCTCTGGCTCTGGCTGTTCTAAACACAGCTTAGCAAAATTTAAAATGATGATTTTATTTTTGCTCAGTTCTGGGTTTGTCTCTGAGAAGATCCACAGATGGGATTTTGCAATTAGTTTAGATATAACAGAAGAAAGAGTATTATGAGGCACRCCAGTGCTCTATAAAATAGACAGGGATCATTTCATCTGCTTGCATGCACATGAGCCTGTGTCATATTATTCTGGTTGGCTCCTGCCAAACCAAAATATACACATACAGGGGAAGAGTGCTGCCTTGCCTGATGGAAATACATGTAGGATTTAGAATGAGGTGCACCTCACCCAGAAGTAGCCTGACTTCTGACTGAGTCGCCCTTGAGGCTCCATTAACTATATTAACAAGCTTTGTGTTGGATGCAATGCCTAGCTCCCAACCAGGTAGAAAATGTTTTGTGGTTAAATCTTAATCTGACTCCCACCCCATGAATTCACTATGCTGGCAGATTTTTTTGTATTATATAGTATCTAGGCAGCAGTGTGTAAGAGAGCTCTTCTAGTAAAAATAATGTTGTAATTATTGAATGACAGAAACAGCAAATAAAAACTGTACTGATGTATTAGGAGAGAGTGAGAACTGACAGGGCCAACTTCAGCCTAGCAATGGTGCTGAAGAAGCAAAGGAGAGAACATAATTTTTAATAAGAGGAAGAGATTAGACAGCATTTGAGGACAAGGCCACATAACATGAAGCCTGTGGCCAAGGCATTTTCTTTTCTGTTTGCAAATGTTTGATATCGTAATCACTTATCTTTCGCTTTTTGCAAAGCTGGAAACCTAGAATTATTGTTACACTAGGTTTCAGACAGCAGATGTATTGTTTTCCCTTAAGTTCATCAATAAACTTTAGGTTTGATGTAAACTCAGGGGTGATGTAAAACTCAGGACGTCCCATTTCCCTGGAGATGAAAAAATCACTCTCCAGGCTGAGGAAGGATGCTCCTGCACTCTCTATCCCACAGGAACCAAGGCTATATTTTTCAACARCCTGTGAAAGTCAATATTGGGATGGGCAATGAAGCTATCACTTGCCAACTRGAGAGGGGCCTGTTTGTACAAATACAAACTTAAACTTGAACATATTTTCTTGATGGCAAACGGATCCATGGCAGAGGTTTCATTTCAGCTAATTTCAGAAAAGTGAGGCCTGAGTGCATGTCTAAGCTAGTCCCTAGACACATTTTGGAACCAATGGCAGCCTACAAATAGGCAAGGGCTTATTCTAAGGCATGAGTCATCTGATCTATTTTACATGTCTACTTTGTGAGGAGAGAAAAAGTCTGAAGGGTGAGTTTGTCCCATAACTCAGTTGTCCCATAACCACTTTAAACAGCAAGGTCAAATGCAGACATTGCAGTTAAACATCAGAATCTCATGGGAGTGACAGTGTCAATAGCAACTGAAAGAAAACAGACAAGAACTCTGAAACTGTTGTTCCTTTTTTTTCTTCCTGCAGACTAATACTTAGCTTTGGCACAGATTTATAACCAGCACTGACAAGCCAGCAGAGATTTTGATTTATTTTTTTGCCCAGTCTCTGGCAGACATGCCCCCATACTAAAGAGCTTTCATTACATCSACACACTCAGTCTGGTACGGGCTAGGGAGAAAAACAAGCCCATTTCACAGATATCTTGTGAAACTGCAGCCAGGTGGAAGGCGAAGAAAAAAATCTCAAGCCCAATCAAATTGTGCTGAAATTTTAACCATTGGAAAGGGTTGCAGTAAGTAGGGAGAAACTTGGAGGCTGAYGGTGATACACAGGAATATAGACTACCTGAGGTAAGGATCTTCAGCCCTCAGCTTCAGACTCAACATGGAGTGCGAGTGGGGGGGGGAAAGCTGCACCATTTCCACTGCTTTTCTTTTCTGGGAAAAGGACTCAGGAAGCTTACATTTCTAAATGAATAAAACCCTGCCACGTACTGTCCAGACAAAATCCTGTAGGACCTCAGAGACTATTTTGCATGTAAASTATACCAGATGGTACTCTTTAATGATCTCTACTTAGTCAGTACTGCATGGTTTTGAAGTAGTCCATAAAGTATTAAGTGTAATGAAGAGCTCTGGAGTCAATCAATAATCAGATTGCTGTAACCTTGTGATGGCTTTGAGGTATAAGACACAGCGTGAAATCCATCAGGACACAGGGGCTTATTTATCATTTGCCTAAGCCTCATCTACCACCCACATTAACAGCTTAATTAGCTCAGGTTAGCTGTATTGATCTGGAAAATCTTTGTGATATTTAACAGATAAAACAAARAAAAAGAAAAAAAAGAAAAAGACCTTTCCATAGGATTTTGGTATGTTCCCCTGTTCTTCAGTAAAATTCCATCAGGTCAAAAAGAGAAGAAAAGAAATAAAATAAAGAAACAGAAAAAAAAGAGGAAACTTTCCTAAATGTAATATACTTATGGATAAAATTATTGGAGAACTTTCACTGTCTCAGGACCACTCCCTGCTCCCCTTTGTTCTTGGTTTGCCTGTTGTTTTCTCATGCTGGGGARGAGAAGAATAACCTGGAGTTTGTTGTAACTCATAACCTCTATAAACTGGGCAGTGAGGTCCTGTACTGCCAGATAAATTTTATAAGGAGTACAAATTCAATCTTTTAAAAAGATTTTATAGGGTTTCAGATGGTAGTTCTGAAATGGATTTAGTGTGATGCCTCTGATTAGACAGCAGAGAGCCTGTGAAAGGCTCAAACCCAGTTTCACTGCAGACCTGGTGGATTTCAGGCATTTTCCATGTAACCCTTGCCAGAGCATGGAGGGCTTCCACAGGTCTGGTGTACCTGCACCCATCATGTGGGTAAYGGGGCAGGAGAGCTGCTGTGAGCTGCCAGGGGCAGCCACCATATAAACAAATACCCTCCCTCACCCAGCAACTCATGCAGTGGAAATGCACAGATTTTGGTATCCTATTAATATCTGTGAATGAAAAAATCTGAAATCTAAGTAGATGAATTTTAAAAAAGCAGTACTTGTGAAGACAGTGAAAAGGTACTTAACAATTTAAARAAAATCAAAGAGAATTTTTGGGTTTATTATAATTTTTGGAGTAATGGTTGTGGTTACCATCAATACACATGTGAAATTCCTGTAGATGAGCCAAATTAAAGTAATGTTCAAGCTCTTGTCTGAATTTTGTTGCTCAGCTGGATCTAAAATCAAAGAAGGCTTATTTTATTGTCACCATCCATTTAGGTTTTGGGCTAACATATGAATTATCTGAGTTGTATATGCAAGATCTTGAACAAGTCAATTTTTTGCTTTGTTTCTTCTGCACAGACTGCACTGGACAGTCAATATCCCAACCTCTGTTTGGTTCAAAATACCTTTGCTGGGCCCCTATTTATGTGAATAAATGTGATTTTCTGAAATATATTGATAGCTATGAAAGGCTGGAAATCCAGTATGACAAAAAATCATCAGTAGTTTGAGCATGAACTTATGACTCAAAAGTTGTCTTTGGACAAAGATCAATATAGCCGTGTGGGTATAAAATGAGACTTTGACATTTATGCCAATTTGAGTATACCTGAATAATAAAGTAAATTTGGGGACCAAAGCAAGTGTCCTTGTTAATCAGCAGTGTGTTGTAATAATCAGGAGAACTTTAACCTTATTCTGAATCTTCAAATCTCATTAGAAGACTCACTTGCTTATTTGCTGACAGAGGGTAAATTTTTTTTTTTCTAACACTTTTTCTTATTTTTAACTTTTAGTTATGTATTGCCTCCTTAGGTAATTGGTGCAATCACAGCCAGTTATGTAATTAGGCTAAACAGATGCGACAATGTGCATGTAATTCTGATGACAGCTGTAAAAACCTTTTCTGAACTAYGTGTAAGAGTGTCACAAAACATATGCAAGAAAGAGACTTGAAATTCATGCCCATTATGAAAGTCATGTCTCACAAAATAAAAACTGATGAGTCCATGGTAAAAAAATCTGTCCTTACAAGCTTGGTTTGAAAGAGAAATCAGAACATTTTAAGTTACAGAGCTCAAAATAAACTTTCAATCATAGTT